TTAATTATACCCATTATGCTTAGAAGAAGAGCATTTCAAAGTCTTGGGTCCCTGATGTTGATAGAATTCTCTCTCAGCATACAAATTGCACCTCTGCTTTTCATTGGGGGCTATTTTTCTCTTCTTGCCATGCCTCCTGGTCTCAAGTGGAGTTATTTCCGTGTTCAGATTTGAATCTGTCTCTAATATTTTCCAAGTGTAAATTATTATGTACCTCTGTCTCGCCTGCACTTTAGAGAATACAGATTACAAAATTTTAGGTGGTCCCAATAATTTAGGTGTTTTATCGAGTGGATTCCTACAGTAAAATATATTTGTTCATCTTCAGGTCAACAATTTCTTCAGCTTTGCATGAGGCTGTTATTGTGCGACAATATTCTACCCTAGAAAGCATTATCATCTTAAAAAGTATCATCATTGGTCTGACATCTCTTATTTGAAAGTTTCTTGTTATCTAAACTGTCCTTTCTGGAGGAAGGGGGGAGCCCCTTGTGGCTACCTAAAGCTACTATACCGATACAGTGCCATCAGTCACGGAGGCCACTCAGAGAAGCTTCAGGAAGTAATGGCTCTATGAAAATTTGCATTTAAATTTAGTCAGGTCATTTACATTCATTATTCATGTAAATTTATTCATGAGGGCCAAGGAAAGGCACCCAGAAAGTCAGCAAAACAAACCAGACCACTGTTTGGTTAGAAAACCAGACTGCAGCCTCCAAACAGCCAAAAGAACCCCCCCCCCCCCCCACAATGTAAATAAATGATTGAAAATTCATGAAATAACTCGAGCTAGTAGTCCCCACCTCTCCTTACGTTTGCTGGGAGGAGGGAGGCAGACCGGGTTGTATTTATACTTTGTGCGAATTCGATTTTTTTTCGTGTTCTGAGCCACCAGGTGATTGATGTTCATGCATTCTGCCTCCACCTGGCTGCCTGTTGGATCAGTGATACCTTCGACCCAGCGTCATGTGGAACGTGTTCCCTGCACATTGCTCTTCTTACCTGCTCTCTTATTAATGTTCAAGGGTATCTGGCAGCAACTGCTTTGCTATTCTGTGTTGCAGTGGTCTAGGTTCTGTGTCCAATTGGTTGCCCCGGATTTGCCCCACTTAATGTTAGGGGTCTCGAATTTGGTGGTGTTGGTTGCCTCAACCTTAGTTCCATCCACCCCTCCACCTTTCCCAGCGGGTGTCATAGACCCTTCTTTTTCCCTCCTGCTTCTAGCCCTGAAGTGTCTGTGGGTTTTGGGGTCAGGACTACCTGATTGGCTTGGGCAGCTCTGGGGTTTGCCTCTTCCAACTTGGGCATGGAGGCAGTTGAGCCTCTATACTCATTATTGCATATCCATCCCACCTATCATTTGTGTTAAACTATGAGGAGAATGCATTCCAGAGAGACATTATTTTTGTTGGGGTCTGCTTTATGCATCCTCTGGCTCATCCAATATCATCTTTGTGCAGTAAAATACATGCCTCTATGACTCAGTATTCCATTATGCCTCAGTCAGAATCAGTATTTGTTAATCACTGTACTGTTCCATGGTTTCATAAACTACAATCTGGAATGCCTAGCTGCTGTGAAGTGGCCAAGTTGATTCTACCATAGGTGTATCCTCATGTCAATGAGCTGTGCAAGTTTATCACTTTAAAATCATATTTCTCAGTGATGTCTTCCGCTGACATCAGAGCTTGGAAGTTTTGGAAGTCTAGGCTATCCACACATTTACATACTGGTGCTCTCCCAAGATTACTTTCCTGTGTTTGCCAGTGTGTGGCCTCAGAGAGGCTTTATTTCTAGATAAAAATGTTAAATTCTGGTGAGATTTTGGGGTCAGAATGTGTGGACAACCTGATGCATATATCCCCCAACAGCTTGTGGAACACTTTGTAGCACGGATGAACTTTCTTTGTACTATTTGTTTTAACTTCCACATTCAAAATTTAATTATGGAGCATCTGAGTAGAATAGCACAGAAATCAGTTGCACAAATATGAATCTTGATGTAACAGAAACCTTAAAAATATGGAATATTTTTCCAAGCAGAATAGTAATTAAGTTCCTGAATGAGGACCAGAACACATGAATGTGTGTCAGTCCAGTGAATTAAAGTGGTGATTGTCACAGAGGCACTGTTACATGTGATGAAGGTTTATCCTGTAGGCAGCCGTTTCCAGTCAGCCAAGAGTTCTGTTCTACCAACATCAGTTCAAGCTACACTGTTTATGGTGTTAGCAGGAGGACTTGGAGGAGAGAGAAGAGAAGGGCAAAGAGAAGGAGCATTTTATACACTTGTTTGTAACATGAAATAAGTACTGGAGAGTGGAATAACTTCTTCACTCACACTAAAGAGATCAGATTATTACTAAAGTTAAAATTTGTGGAATCACTTGTATTACTAGTGAATGTTTAACCACAGTCAACATCATTCTTAATTTACAGTTATATTAGCAAAGGCTACCAAGATGAGCAAACCTGTAGGGAGAAGAACTTGAAAAGTAAAGATAGAAAGAAGGCTGAAAAAAGTTAAGTAATGTATTCCAAAGAAAAACTTAATAAACTTTGTGGACACCAGTATAACTAGAGAAAAAAAAGGTGGAAGTTATAATGTTGAAATACTAAAGCAGTGGTTCTGCAAAGAACTTTGTTTAGCTTATCATTTAGAATAAAAGGTACACACATTTGTATTATTCTCTACCGTACCATATAATTATACATAAAAACAACCCTTTTCTGGGGGGAACCTCATCGGCTCCCCAGAGCTATCCAGGCTGAATGGATATGTATAGCGTTCTGGTATCAGTCAATGTGCTTGGAGTTCTTGCCTACCGGGAACCACGAGCCAGAACCTGGCCCCCTCAGAAGACGAACGAGGAGCAATGGCCTATAGAAACCCTCCCTGTGGTTGGGAGCATTCTGTGTCTGCCATTGACCAGGACAGGCACCTAGAAAGGTAGGGGCCCCAAAACAAACCCCTATTCTTGTAAAACTATTGCTACCGAAAGCCGAACAAATGGACAGAACTCCCCAAACGGAAATTAGCAAACAAGCATGGCGTCATCATGTTGCCGCGCCGCCGTCTGCGCAACTCCCCCTTTTCCCAGGAGGGGGAAGAGAAAGCCCCAGACCCCTCTTGCCGGTTACCCAACACTAGTTCTTGGCTGATGGGTGTCTGGTGTGGTCACGTGCCTCTGGCTTCAGAATTCTTTGCTCTCAGTCCTGTGTCTGGTGGCATGGGCTCTCTCTCCAGGGGGAGTGTGAGCCAGGAGTGATATTCCAAGGTACTCGGGCTGCATGTGCCTAGGACTACCTTCCCTAGGTGCCCAGTAAGTACTGCCCTTGGTGCTTGGGGCTACCGTCCACAAGTCACCTTGGAGTCTGCCTCCGTGGTGCCTTTTACTGCTCGGTACATGGCCGCCCTTGAGGTCTGCTGAGGTTTTATTGCCCTTGAGTCCCTGGATAGGAGGTAGTTGTCATCAATGGTAGGGGCACAGAGTACTGCACAGCTTGTCTTCTCACATTCTAGCGGCCAGCTCTGTTCCGCTCGGGTACGTTGTCCTCTTGGGGGGTTTTTCTTTTGTTTTTGTTTTCTGCCTGGTGGGAGGGTCTCCCTGTTCCTTCCTGTTCGGGTTCTGAGTTTCATTTTGTTGGTGGCGTCTCCCGCTAGGCCCCCCGTGAGTGGACACGTCCCGGGGGTTCAGCTTTTAGAGGTTTGTTCGTTAGACTTGGGCGCCGATTCGCAGTACCCTGCCTGGGCTTCCCTTAGCGTGTCACCAAGGATAAGGGCCCCGGGAAACCCCGCGGGGGCTACGTGGTCCAATGGATGTAATCCCTGAGCCCCCCCTCCCCCCTCGCGTCTTGCGAGATTGCTCAGGGTGACACTCACTGGTTCTGCCTCGACCATGCTGCCTGTTGGGTCATGGATTCCTTTGACCCAGAGTCTTGCGACGTTTGTTGTCTGTTCGTACTCCAGTTCACCCAGGCCTCTGATACTGATACAAGGGTGCAGGCGGCAGCCGCGTTGCATGCTCGGTTTAGGTTGCTGCAACGTGCTCAGTTGATTGCTGCCCCGGATGCCCCGAGCCTGCCCCATTTTTATTATAGGGACCCGGACTTGGGGGTAGGGTCGCTTCGGCTCTGGTTCGCCCCTCCTAGTCCTTCCCCTTCGGTTATACATTCAGTACCCCCCCTTGCCTTTTGGCTCCGAAACGTCTGAGGATTTCAATGTCGGGGCAGGGTTTAGTTGATGTCAAGACTCAGGCGGTCTCAGGGGAGTCCCCTTCTGGGGTTGCGGCGGTGGCATTCGAGCCTGGTCCTCCTGCCAAAGCTTCTGGGTCTGACCAGTGGGGGCCTCCCCTTCATTCTAACTTTTTCGGCCGCTCCCACTTCTTCTTTAGGGGCGGGGAAAAACGCCATTTTCTGGGTGAGTCCCGGAGGCTCCTCGGCATCCCTCCCTCCCTCCAGTCGGCAGTGTTTTTTTCGTGTGTTTTGACATCCAGCCTAAGAACTAGTGTTGGGTAGTCGGCGCTAAAACTAAGCCTAAGAATTAGTGGGGGGGGGGGGTGCGGGTGCGTAGAGGTGGCGCAGCAACATGACATCATGCACGTCTAATTTTCATTTGGGGCGTTCTGTCCACTTGTTCAGTTTTCAGTAGCAATAGTTTTACCAGAATGGGGGTTTGTTTTGGGGTGCCTACCTTTCTGGGTGCCTGTTCTGGTCGATGGCAGACATAGAATGCTCCCAACCACAGGGGGTGGGGTTTCTATAGGCCATTGCTCCTTGTGCCTCTTCTGAGGGGGCCAGGTTCTGGCTCGTGGTCCCCGGTAGGCAAGAACTCCAAGCACAGTGACTGATGCCCGAAAGCTATACATATCTATTTAGCCTGAATAGCTCCGGGGAGCCTCCGGGACTCGCCCAGAAAATGGCGTTTCATTATATTCAACACTGGTTTTTTGTTTTTCTCTTTTTTTTTTTGTACTAGTTTTTTTATTACTTGTTTATAGGGTGGGGAAGGTGATGGACCATCAGGCAACACATACTCCCTCTTCAGTCCCATGAGTGGAGGTAGCATGGGTATGGGTGCTGGTCCCAGCCGCTCGGTCCCTCATCCTCTATACCCAAGCAACTCGCAGCCAAGTGGACAGCAGGTAAGTGTAGTTTTATAACTATCAAAGATAACTTATTTTTATTTAGAAAAGATTAGTTTTAGATTTTACTAATTTAAGAAATTTTTTCGTAATTTTTAAAATACGAAAAATATTGTAAAATTTAGGTAATTTTTTCGATGTGTATAGGTATTTATAAGATTAAGTTTAGTTCTTCCACTATGTCACACGGCTTGGGATGATCTTACTAATTATCCACAATCTGCATATCACGCTTGGAGAAGTTTTAAAGTACCACTTAAAATTTAAAAGTCCTGTGTGGTAAAAAAGACAACAGCTGCCATCTTTAAAGAAAATTCTAAATAAGCTGCATTTTTTTTTTTTTTTTTTTTTTTTTTTGAGATATATACAAGAGTTGTTACATTCTTGTACAGCCACTAGTACGCGTAGCGTTTCGGGCAAGTCCTTAATCCTATGGTCCCTGGAATACGATCCCCTGCCGCGAAGAATCGTTTTTTCATCCAAGTACACATTTTACTGTTGCGTTAAACAGAGGCTACAGTTAAGGAATTGCGCCCAGTAAATCCTCCCCGGCCAGGATACGAACCCATGACATAGCGCTCGCGGAACGCCAGGCGAGTGTCTTACCACTACACCACGGACCCTCCACCTCTCAACACTGCTCTGTGGCTCATTCCAAATAATCACTAACTGATAAAGAAATTCAGAAGAACTTGATGGAAACTCATAAGGAAAGTATCATTGATGATTATGATATTGATAAGGATTATGCTCAGGGCTCAAATAAAAGTGATCAAATAGATAATGATATAGATGCACATACTGTATAACTATCCCCAGGGGTGAGGTCTACACCATCACCACTGCCGGGTGATGGTATAGACTTCACCTCCACTTGACACCACCACTGCCACCTCGAGACTGGGATGTGAGTCTGTGCAGCGTCTGTTCCCGGAATTCTATTCCTGGAAGTTGTAAATATGTGGAAGGTGTAGTGGTGTATGAACTGTTACCAGGTGGCTCCTGGGCTCCTGACAGCTGGGTGGACAGCGCTTCGGATTCGTAGTCCTGAGGTCCCGGGTTCGATCCCCGGTAGAGGCAGAGACAAATGGGCAAAATGTTTCTTTCACCCTGATGCCCCTGTTACCTAACAGTAAATAGGTACCTGGGAGTTAGTCAGCTGCTATGGGCTGCTTCCTGGGGGTGTGTAACAAAAAGGAGGCCTGGTCGAGGACCGGGCCGCGGGGATGCTATGCCCCGAAATCATCTCAAGATAACCTCAAGATAACTTCAAGGTGACGTTCTGTTGCATCAGCTGCTCACCCCTCCAAACACCAGTGTGTGATGTCACATGGGGAAATTGAGGGAAGACTGCACTCATCTTCAATTGTTATGCCCTCATCTTCCAGTGTTCATGCCCACAGTATTTATCGTAAGAGGGTTTCATCTCCCAGCCAATTTAGTTTTGTTGGTGTAGGTTATCTTGAGATGATTTTGGAGCTTAGCGTTCCCGCGGCCTGGTCCCCGACCAGGCTGCCTTTTTGTTACACCCCCCCAGGAAACAGCTCGTAACAGCTGTCTAACTACCAGGTATCCATTTACTGCTATGTAACAGGGGCATCAGGGTGAAAGAAACTACCCATTTGTTTCCGCCTCCACCGGGGATCAAACCTGGAACCTCAGGACTATTAATCCGAAGTGCTGTCCACTCAGCTGTCAGGCCCCTGACAGTAGGATACATGGCCGTGATATTGGTGGTGCCTCCTCCAGAACAGCAGGTGTACTCGTGTGGGGTGATTTGTTCCATAAATCCATACATTTGACAATACTGTACAGATGTAGGGGGTTAGAGATGTTTTTGCATATTCTGGTGAGGACATGAATGAAATGGAGTATTTTAAGGCATACTTCAGTGAGCCACTTACCGAACATATTGTTCAGGAAATAAACAGATATGTGGCCAAACTTATTGGAACCGAGGGCATATTACCACAATCACGATTGCAACATTGGAAGAATAACATTGTAGCTGAACTGTATATATTTTTTGCCCCTCAATATAATGATTAAATAGAAAAACACCTCATCCAGGATTATTGGAACAAAGATTCAATTGTTCTGTCACTTGTTTTTTGGAAAATACATGTCTCTCGACAGGTTTCAGTTACTTATCAGGTATATTCAATTTTAAAATAGTGAAAACTGAAAGACAGATGTATTCAATGAACAGAATTGAAAGTACTGTACAAAGAGTTCTACACACCTGGCTAGAATTGAATAAATTCAATTGTATTCAATAAATTCAATTTTAATAATAAAAGGATAGACTGGGAGAAAATAAACAGGGAACTTACAAACATTCAATGGGAAAATGTTATAAGAAATAAAAATCCTACACAAGGAATAGAAAAACTGACTTCTGAAGCATATGAAGTCTGTCTGAAACATGTTTCTTTGAGGAAAGCCAGAAAGAGGTCAAATGTAGAAAGAGAACGCAGACGACATTACAAAAGAAGGAAGAAATTAACGGAAATGCTTAAGCAGACACGACTCTCCATACAAAGAAGAAATAATTTAAACAGGGAGATTGAAGAAATCGAACAGAGACTGAAGCATTCCTATCAGACTGAAGAAAGGCAACTAGAACAGAAAGCAATTCAAAAAATAAAGAAAAACCCAAAATATTTCTTCACATATGCAAAGTCAAAAGCGAAAACCACTGCCAGTATTGGACCTATTCGTATTAGTGAAGGTTCATACACTGAGGATGACAAAGAAATTAGTGAAATCCTAAAAAAGCAGTATGAGGACATGTTTAGCACTCCGATACACAGCATGAAAGTGGAAGATTCGGACAATTTCTTTATGAATGATATCCAAACACCTGTAAATATAACTGATATCAACACGAGCATAGCAGATTTTGAAAGAGAAATTGACAATATATATGCCCATGCCCAGGGGAGCCGGTCAGTCGAGCGGACAGCACACTGGACTTGTGATCCTGTGGTCCTGGGTTCGATCCTGTGGTCCTGGGTTCGATCCCAGGCGCCGGCGAGAAACAATGGGCAAAGTTTCTTTCACCCTATGCCCCTGTTACCTAGCAGTGAAATAGGTACCTGGGTGTTAGTCAGCTGTCACGGGCTGCTTCCTGGGGGAGGAGGCCTGGTCGAAGACCAGGCCGCGGGGACACTAAAGCCCCGAAATCATCTCAAGATAACCTCAAGGTATGCACTCGGCCCCGGGTCCAGACTCATGGAATTCAATATTTATAAAGAAATGCAAAGTGCCAGTAGCACATGCACTCAGTATAGTGTGGAGGAAGAATTTGGACACAGGGGAGATACCAGATGTGCTTAAAGCAGCACACATTACCCCTCTACACAAGGGTGGTAGCAAAGCATTGGCAAAGAATTATAGACCAGTTGCACTAACGTCCCACATAATAAAAGTATTTGAGAGAGTGATCAGGAGTCAGGTCACTAGATTCATGGAAACCAATGACCTCCACAATACAGGCCAACATGGATTTAGAGCAGGAAGATCATGCCTCTCACAGCTTCTTGACCACTATGACAAAATCACTGAGGCATTAGAAGAAAAACATGATGCAGATGTCGTATACACAGATTTTGCAAAGGCATTCGACAAATGTGACCATGGAGTGATTGCACACAAAATGAGGTCAATGGGTATAACTGGTAAAGTAGGACGCTGGATACTCAATTTCCTGTCGAACAGAACACAAAGAGTAACAGTCAATCAAGTAAAAATGTCCAAGCGCAGTTAAAAGCTCTGTACCTCTAGGTACAGTCCTTGCACCACTGCTGTTCCTTATTCTCATATCAGATATAGACAAAAATACAAGTCACAGCTTCGTGTCATCCTTTGCAGATGATACAAAATCATCATGAAAATTACCTCTGCTGAAGACATTGATAAACTAGAAACAGATATTAACAAAGTTTTCGATTGGGCAGCAGAAAATAACATGATGTTTAACAGTGATAAATTCCAGGCACTCAGGTACGGCAAAAATGAGGATCTTAAACATAATACAGGGTACAAAACACAATCGAATCTGCCCATAGTAGGAAAACAGCATGTCAAGGATTTGGGAATAATGATGTCCGACGACCTAACATTTAGGGAGCATAACCAAGTAAGTATTGCGTCAGCCAGAAAAATGATAGGATGGATTACGAGAACCTTCAAGTCCAGAGATCCCATCACAATGGTTGTACTCTTCAAATCACTTGTTTTGTCCCGTCTTGAGTACTGCTCAGTACTCGCTTCCCCCTTCAGAGCAGGAGAGATTGCTGAAATAGAGGGAATACAGAGAACATATAAGGCATGCATAGACGAGATAAAGCACCTAAATTATTGGGATCGTCTCAAAGCTCTCTGAATGTACTCACTAGAAAGGAGATGAGAGAGATACCAAATAATATACACATGGAAAATACGGGAGGGACAGGTCCCAAATCTGCACAGTAAAATAACAACGTACTGGAGTGAACGACATGGAAGAAAATGCAAAATAGAACCAGTGAAGAGCAGAGATGCTATGGGCACAATCAGAGAACACTGTATGAACATCAGAGGTTCACGGTTGTTCAACATCCTACCAACGAGCATCAGAAATATTGCGGGAACAACCGTGGACATCTTCAAGAGGAAACTAGATTGTTTTCTTCAAGGAGTGCCGGACCAACCGGGCTGTGATGGGTATGTGGGCCTGAGGGCCGCTCCAAGCAACAGCCTGGTGGACCAAACTCTCACAAGTCAAGTCTGGCCTTGGGCCGGGCTTGGGGAGTAGAAGAACTCCCAGAACCCCATCTAGCAGGTATCAAGCAGAAGTTGATTAACAAATTACTTGTTCTTGGCTGAGGACATCTTGCCTTCAGGTAGTACCTCCCCTTCAAACATCACAGATTTGTACTGAAATTCTTCACATTTTGTGATTGTGAAACAGGACTGGTCAATGACATGATTTTATATACAAGTACTGACTTAGACAT